TGCTTACGACTGTCCGCCTCCCCCCCCGTGTCGCACCGAACCGACAAGTGCGGGGGAACAGTTGAAGCAGCCGGATCCGTATCGACCTCGAGCGGTGGAGGAAGGACAAATACCTACAGGTCGCCTTCCAAAACAAGGCCTCCAGCCGCCCTCCACCCACGGCGCTCAGGCAGCCAACGGGAGAGACCGCAGCCGAGCTGAAGGCTACGGTGATGTCGGCCGCTGCTGAGACCGCGCCGCTGGCGAGGTGCGCACGAGGGCAGAGAGGCTGGTACACGAGCGAAGCTCAGCACGAGATCTCCGAAGTGTCTAAGGAGATTAAGGCGGCCCAGCAGCAACTGCGTGGGGCCTCAAAGAACAGCGCCTTCGAGGCGACCCTGAAGGCGATGCTCAAGGCGGCGCGGAAGAAGCGCAGCATCGCGAGGTGGAGAGCACTGGAAACGTTCTTCGAGGGCTGTGTACGGTAGCTCGAGAAGACGAACCGCGAGCGGATCAGTCGGGTTTCTACAGTCACCTGAACATGATCGGCGTCCAAGGGAAGAGGTCGTTCACCTCTCAGAACATCAAGGACGAGGACGGCAAGGTCCTTCGGGACCCCACGTTTATTCGCCAACGGTGGGCACGGTGGTTCCACAAGCTTCTCAACACCAAGTCGCCGACCATCGACCTGCATGCGGCTGACAAGGTCAAGCGGTGGCCCACGTGCGTGCCACTCGACGACATCCCATCTCTACTTGAGGTTGAGGAAGCGGTACGGGAAATGGCCAACAGAAAGGCCGTCGGGCCGGACGACCTACCGGCTGAGCTGATCAAGCTTTTCCTGGACGGAGATCAAGGTCTCCTCCGCGAGTTCCACGCAACTGTCGTGGACGTGTGACAGACGGGGGACGTACCACAGCAGTGGAAGGATGCCACCGTCAAAGTGTTGTTCAAGAAGAGGGACACGATGGAGTGCGGCAACTACCGGGGCATCTCTCTCGTCGCACACGCCGGCAAGATGCTGCGTAAGGTCGTCGCTACACGACTGAGCCACTACCGCGAGCGAGAGGGCATCCTCCCGGAGGAGCAGAGCGGTTTCCGCCCACACCGGTCGACGCTCGACATGCTGTTCGCCATCCAGCGGCTCCATGAGCTCGCGAGGAAGAAGAGTACTGCGGTGTTCGCGTGCTTCGTCGATCTCACCAAGGCATACGATTCGGTAGACCGAGACCTATTGTGGGACGTGCTCCGACGCTTCGGCGTGCCCCCGAAGATGCTGGCGGTCATTCGCCACTTCCACGAGGGCATGAGGGCGCGCGTCCGAACGGACGACGGGCAGTACTCGGAATGGTTCGACGTGGGCCAAGGCCTCCGACAGGGATGCAACCTGGCCCCCCTACTGTTCAACTTGTTCTTTGCCGCGATGCTCATGGTCGCCATGGCCGAGTTCGACAAGGACCCCAAGGTGCGGCGGACATGGTCAAGATCGGGGCACAAGTGGAGTACACGGGAAAGAAGGGCAGGTCGGCGGGGAAGACCATGACGGTGGTGACGGACGCGGAGGCCCTGTAGGCCATGCACTACGCTGACGACGCGGCCATCGTCTCGCGCTCGCCGGAGAGTCTCGAGAAGATGATGTCGGTCATCGTGCGCGTGGCCGGCCTGTTCGGACTGATGGTTGACGGGCCAACCGCCAGCTCAAGATCCGGCTACTTCAGGCTGAAGTGGTAGAGACTCTCCTACGTCAGCGCCGCTGGCCAGACGTACAAGCAGACAGATCGGTTTGTGTACCTCGGACGTACCATCT